AGGAGTTGGAGGTTGCTGTGAGCTGAAATGCCATGGCACTCTACCCAGGGGGACAGCTTGAAGCTCCTGTCTCAAAAAAAAGAATGGTGTTTCTGGAACATCGTAAAAGACCAGTAACTGGTGGAAGCTATTATTTGAGGCTTCTCTCAAACCATCAGTCATTTTGCATCATTATTTTATTTGGTGGTGAGTGTTTGAAGGATCGTTGGCATATATTAAACATGCGAAATCTTAAAAACTTGCTAATAGTTAAGTATCAGAATGTTAGTTCTGCTAGGCACAGTGCTACATAGTTATAGTAAGGTGGGAGCTCTGAAGCAGAAGGATCCTTTGAGCCCAGGAATTCAAGACCAGCCAGGGCAACACAGTGAGACACCATCTTAAAAAAAATGACAGTTAGCTTGACACCTGTAGCTCAAGCCGCTAAGGTACCAGCCACTTACACCAGAGCTGACGGGTTTGAATCCAGCCTGGGCCTGCCAAACAGCATGACAACCATAACTGGGAAAAAAAAAAGACAGTTTAGAATTTTTGTATAATCTTTAGGAAAGCTTTCAGCAAAAATAGAATGTGGAACTCCCTGGCTTTGATTTAGGTATGGATCTGTAGGAAGGCCCTGGATTTCATTAATTTGGGGGACCATTTAGTTCTCCGATAGCAAAATATTTTTTATTGCACAGAAATTTTTTCTGGTCATTCTGCCTTTTCCCCCCTCAGATTACAGAGTTAAAGGCTGATTTTCAGTACCAGGAATCTCAGATGAGAGCCAAAATGAACCAGATGGAGAAAACCCACAAAGAAGTCACAGAACAATTGCAGGTGACTCTGCTTATATCTAGTATATGTAGCTGATTATATTTTATTTATTTCTTTTTTTTCTTTTTTTTTTTTTTTTGCCTCAGCCTCTCAAGTAGCTGGGACTACAGGTGCCCACCACAACGCCCAGCTATTTTTTTTTTTTGTAGTTCTCATTGTTGTTTAGCAGGCCCAGGCAGGGTTTGAATCCGCCAGCCCCAGTGTATGTGACTGGTAGCCTAACCACTGAGCACCAGCACCAAGCCCACACATCACCTTAGTTGCCTCTGTTTTCCTTGTACAGCATAGTCAATAGAAGGGGGACCTGGAATTTGAAATCTAGTTCTGAGGCCGGGCATGCTGGCTCATGTTTGTAATCCTAGCACTCTGGGAGACTGAGTTGACTGGATTTGGTGAGCTTAGGTGTTTAGGGCCAGCCTGAGCAAGAATGAGACCTAGTCTCTACTAAAAATAGAAAACCTAGCTGGGCATTTTGGTAGGTGCCTGTAGTCCCTGCTACTTGGGAGGCTGAGGCAAGAGGATCACTTGAGCCCAAGAGTTTGAGGTTGCTTTTAGCTATGATGATGCCCTAACTTGTCACTTGCTAATGTAATGTATGATCTTGTCTGTATTACTTAACCCTTTCTAAACCTCAGTTTTCCCATCTATAAAATGGGACTAATACCCTCACTGGGTTATCAGAAAGATTGAATGAAGTAATATAATTGAATGGTGTTTCAGCTTGGCGCCTGTGGCTCAAGTGGCTAAGGCGCCAGCCACATACACCCAAGGTGGCGGGTT